CAACTTGAGCTTGGGAAATTGTTTACAGCAGAAGCTCAAAACGAAGTTTGGGTGCTGACTCTCAACTTCAACCTGAGCTTCAACTTAAACTGTACTGGTATGATGTATTGAAATAATGAAGACTGTTCTCATTATATTTGACAGATTTGGTATTGGAGATTATTCATAACACAGATCCTCAAACAGCATGTGAAGCCTTAGTATATTGTGTAGGTGCATTGAAATTTTTAACTGGTAATACATCATTATTGAAAGAACTATCAGAATGTGGATGTGTAGAAGCTCTCGCAAAGTTATTAATATCTATTAACACTGCAGTAAGTACAAACTTTTGTGTAAATTAACTCAGTCTATGGTATCAAATGTTAGGTTATAACATATCAAACAATATTGCTAATATCAATTTAAATGTGGATCCTGATGAATTCCCCATTCCTGAATTGATAGCATTTGTGCGCTTGCACATATTGTGTGACCTGAGGTCAACAAACCGGAATGTAGGACAGATTTTGAAATTTCCAAACGTGCAGTGTCACAGTACACTGCTCATTCATTGCAGTGTAAAAAATCCGCTGAAATAAAAGAGCCCTCAGCCTCGGAAAATTTGCATGCTATTCTGCCTAATCAAGAAAAACAAACGTGCAAGTTATCCTTGGCTATAGCGTAATATTTTTTCTCTTCTTCAGTTAACTGGTAATCTGTTTCTTGGCTGTATATAAGTCTTCTAGCTGCCCCTTTTGTACCCACCAACACTCCACTATCTTTTTAAAAAATGTTTAAAATTACTCTGTAATTTCTTCCAAAGATTCATGTCTTTTGTTTTTTTGACTTTTCATATTTGTATTCTACCACCAACACCAACCCATCCCACCCCACCTACCCCCATTACTAGCTACACCCATTTATATCTAGGCTTCTTATGTGTACATAGAATTACTCCACGTCTGTCAATAATTCAGAAATTGCCTATAGTCGTACAATATCCCAGTTCATAATAATAACAGCATTTTTATTCATCAAATAAACAGGTATTATTACCAACTGGCATTATAGTGAAGTAATTGGACGCCACATAGATTCTAGACTGTAGATTTTGCTTCAAAAACCTTAAATCTAGATATTGACTTGTTTTTTCATTTTTAAATTATTACATTGTGAATAATATTATTTATTTTGTTTGATTTTAGAAATGTGAAGGAGAGAAATCCAGTAATCAGAAATCTAATCTGTTACTGCAAGTAACTGCAACATTTCGTAATTTAGCTGACCTAGGTGCTAATAGACACAGGTTTATTACAAGTTTTGTTATACAAGAACTGTGTAAAGTCATGGAGTGTTATCCAAGTGATAGTGATTTAATGCTTAATGTTTCAAGGATACTAAGGTGAGTTCATTTCCTGTTGTTATAATCACTTTTATGGTGGTACAAACACAATGCTTATTGTAAAACTGATAACAAATGTAATTAAGTTTTATCAGTCAGTCAGGTTTTTTCTTTGCTATTTATTAAAACAGATTTATTTTATCTAGTTTGTTGTATTATCAGTTTAAAAAAGAGAAAAAAAGGTGGATTCACATTAGAATATAAGCCAGGCCTTGGGCTTACCCAAATTTTAGGCGTGACTGAATTTTGTGTATGAACACAAACCTAAATATTTAGGCCCACCTGGAAAGGAGTGCCAGGGCTGACTCTAATTTCAATTCCCAAGGTAACTACAGTATGAACAAGTGCCAAATTACATAATCGCAACATGAAGTAAATATGCAAAATAAGGTCACAAATCTTTACCACAATCACAACAACGGGTGTGAGAAAAGTCAATTGGACTGCCAAAGAAACAAAATCATTGATCATTATGTAGAAGGAGTACCATAATAAATAAATAAATTCATAAAGGTACTTCCAGACAGCATTGCACACAAAAAAGATAGGAGAAGGGCAGCACAAATGAAGAAGGTTGAAACTGAGATTGTCTTGCAATGTTTTTTTCATGTCCACAAACTTATTTGTGTTCATCAATTATTGTCTCATTCAAGTGTCCAGATTGGGCCAGCCGTGGCAATTTTATAATCTTTTTTTTTTTTTAAATTTTGGTCCGATGCAAAATTATCCTGACTAGTCATTCATTGCTATTAATCTACACGTCAGATCATGTGTGCGTTATGGTTGCGTAGAACAGATTATTTCTCAGCTTATTTATCACCTCAAAAACATAGTGACAACTATGGAGGGCGGGACAGAACAGACCAGTTGTGAAAATTTTAGAGAGATTCTACAAACTCGTTCTTTAAGAATTGTCATATTAAACAATAAAACTAGGCCAGTCTAAAGTCCCACCACAGCTGTAGAGTTTCCGTTCAACACACTAAATGTAATTTTAATTTCTTCAGTTATAATAGAAATTATTAGTATTGTAGTATATTATGTATAAACTTTTCAACAGGGTTTTTGCATAACTCTCAACTGGAATCAACCTTAAAACAATTCTTTACGTCTCTGTAAAAGTGTCACTGTACTCCGGCACTTGTACATAGAAATGATTATAAATTTCATAATAATTCTGGGTGTCTGTCATCTATATACAGTAATTTTAATATTATTTTGTTTTACAGTAAGTTAACACTAAACAATGATTGTTGTAGCACGTTGTCAAGATACCCAACCTGCTTCAAATCATTTCTCAAGTTATTACATCTACATCAGCGCAAGAGTGATCTTGTTGTCAGGGTATGTTTTGTACTTGGTAATCTCACGTCTAAAAATGATGAAGCTCGAACAAGTCTATATAACACAGAAAACAGTATGAAAATACTTCTGGGAGTTTTTAAAACTTACTTTAAGTTAGATGTTAAGGTGAGTCTTTTTGTTTATCTCATATTTTTTAAGTAAAAAGGTTTACATATTGCTATCTTCATAACTGTCCAAATATGAATAGATGTGGATAGTTTTTAAAAAATATGAAAGAGCTCAACTTACCACATAGGTGGACTGAGCTCAGCTACTTCATGCATTTTTACACACATTAGATGTTCAGCAAAAGTTTGATACAGTGCTATTAGACATCCAGTTTTACTCATAAAAATTACCTATATGTTTGGTTTTTTCAGGAACTGCAAGAGAAATTATCTCCGTCCAAGAAAGACCAAAACAAATCTTCAAATAAAGTGGAAGATGTATTGATTAAACTGGTTCGTGTCATAGCTAATTTATCAATTAACCAAGACATAGGCCCAGTGATATCATCTGATGTTCAGTGTGTTGATCTACTTTTACAAATATTAGGTTAGTGCTTTGAATTTCTTCTACCAATTTTGTAATCTTCCTCAAAATACTGTAAATGCATTAATTGCAGGTTTTTAATTTTACAATTTACTATTATATTAAATTTATGTGAACATGTAAAATAAAAATAGTGCTTGATGTTTTCCTGTCAATTTGTGATCTTAAAACTAAAATTAATGCCAGTGAAAATAAATGGTTTTACAGTAACCATTTTTAGCTCCGCTGTCGACTTTGTCGAGCAGAGCTTATCATATGAGTGATTGTTCGTCGTTGTCGTCCGTGTCAATGTTTTACTTTTTCGACTTCTTCTTGAAAACTACAAGTCTTAATGCTTTTGATACTTGGTGTATATGTACCTTGGATAGACCTCTCTCAGATTTGTTCATTTCATGTTGATAT